TTGCACGCATCGACATAATTTCATGTAATGATTTTCTAAAGCCTACATGAAACATTGCAAGTTCTACAGGCATATTTTAAACTATTTATCCAATTGTTTTCAAAATTATGTATTATCAGCAGCATTGTTTTACTTTCAAAGCTGTCTTACACAGAACCATATAAATATATGCATACAAACACTCACGAATATGTGAGTGTAATATACATATATATGTAATTTTATTGGAATTAATTGATTTGCTAAGTTCATATTGGTAACATTTATTTTCATAAAGTCAATTGGTAAGAAGACTGATAACTAAATTTGAAATTGATGATTATGAATGACAGTCTGATACTGGTTTTTGGTTTATTCCTTTTGTTTTTCTTAAACAACATTTAGAAATTATTGTTATATATGGTTTTAAATCATAGATTTTTATGATTCATTTTTCAGTTTCAGGCAAATTTGTCAATAAACAGGGAAGGCAGGAAAAAAATTACCTTAATATCTGCAGAGAAACAAATGAGGAATGGAGGTTAAATTATTGATGGACTGCAGTGTATTAAATTTACTGTATAACATATTTAAGTTCATTTTTTAAAATAACATTTACTTTTAGAATAGATTAGATTTACAGAAGAGTTATGAAGATAGGACAGAGCTTCCACACACCCCACACCTCCAGATCCCTGCTATTATTAACATCTTACATTGGTAAGGTACATATGTTATAATTTTTTTTATATATAAATTTATTTATTTATTTGTTTTTGGCTGCATTGAGTCTTCGTTTCTTCACACGGGCTTTCTTGCAGCGAGCGGGGGCTACTCTTCGTTGTGGTGCGTGGGCTTCTCATTGCAGTGGCTTCTCTTGTTGCGGAGCACAGGCTCTAGGAGTGTGGGCTTCAGTAGTTGTGGCATGTGGGCTCAGTATTTGTGGCTCGCGGACTCTAGAGCGCAGACTCGGTAGCTGTGGCGCGCGGGCTTAGTTGCTCCGCGGCATGTGGGATCTTTCCGGGCCAGGGCTCAAACCCGTGTCCCCTGCATTGGTAGGCAGATTCTTAACCACTGCGCCACCAGGGAAGCCTCTACATATGTTATAATTAATAAACAAATACTAATACATTATTATTAACTAAAGTCCCTACTTTGGTTATATTTCCTTGGATTTTACCTTCTGTGCTTTTTTTAATTTTAAAAGAGTTAAGCTACATTTTAGGAACGAAATTTGAATACAATAGTGGGATTATCAAAACACTCCATGGATTCCTTGGTTTCTGTGGAACACAGCAAAAACACTGTTCTTTCTGCTTGAGTTTCATCTATTACCTGTTACCCTAAGCCACGCTTTTTCAAATTATGTTTCTCAATAAAGAATTACTTTCTCTCTAGTTCGCTAAATAAATTGCACTGTTTAATGCCCCATGCCTATGTTGGCTTTCTGCTTGGATGATCTCTTTCTCTTTGTCCAGCTAGTGAATTTTTTTATTAATCCCCTAAAATCTAGCATAAGAACCATCTACTCTGCTCCTTTCCTAAAGATGCTAATAATTATTCTGCAGTGGTTTTAGTATCAGGCATTTTTTTTGTCAAATAAATACTCAAATTTTCTGATGTATTTTGTTTGACTTATCACTTCACTTCCCATTTGAATAAATTTAATACATTTTCCATTTCCTTTATATAGATATGGCATACAGAATTTGAGAAACTTACACATTTAACGAAACGGAAATTCTATAAAATCTGATAGAGCAAGGTCTTGAAGTGTGTGTGTGTTTGTGTGTGCATGAGTATAAAACTTTCCTTTTTTTTTTCTTTTTGGCCTACAGTCAAGTCAATAGAAATGAGCTGAATTTGACCATTGCAACCATGAGACTTTCTTAGGTGATTATTTTAAGCTTTATAATTTAATAGTACAATAAGATTTGCAATTTAGAATAACTGAATTTTTGGGATTGATTAAAAGAATACCATTAACATAATTTTTTGTGAATCCAGTATAATTTAATTAGCACTTTGATCATGAGCAATGATAATAATGTCTAAGTGGGTCAGTGCTGATTTTTGTTATTCATGCTACCCCCTCTAGGTTCCAACTGCTGCTGTTTTACAGAACTTTAATATTTCCACCAGTAGAGAACAGAGAGGAGCAGATTTTTTTCCATTTGGTTTTGACTACTTGTAAAGCAACATGATTAGAGAATGCCAGGGGAGGATTTTCTGTAGGACTAATTGCCTAGAGAGAACCTTTATTCTCTCTAATGGGTCGTGAGAGTATGATGAAATTATTATATACCAATGTATTAAGTTAAAGAAAAGTCCAGCTTATATATTTCTTTCCATTGAAATTTAACCCTGTAAGTGATGTTTATACAGCTGGGAGCAGGTTGCAAAACAGAAAAAGATTATTAAATTTATTGTTGATAATTATTTTTCATGATAGCAGAAGCCATTTACATTTGTGTAGTGTCAAACAGTTATTGGCTTGTTGCAACCTAAGTGTCCATCAACAGATGAATGGATAAAGAAGAGGTGGCACATATATACAATGGGATATTACTCAGCCATAAAAGGAAACGAAATTGAGTTATTTGTAGTGAGGTGGATGGACCTAGAGACTGCCATACAGAGTGAAGTAAGTCAGGAAGAGAAAAATAAGTACCGTATGCTAACACATATGTATGGAATCTAAAAATAATAATAAAAATGGTTCTGAAGAACCTAGGGGCAGGACAGGAATAAAGACTCAGATGTAGAGCATGAACTTGAGGACATGGGGAGGGGGAAGGGTAAGCTGAGATGAAATGAGAGAGTGGCATGGACATATATACACTACCAAACGTAAAATAGCTAGTGGGAAGCAGCCACATAGCACAAGGAGATCAGCTCGGTGCTTTGTGAACACCTAGAGGGGTGGGATAGGGAGGGTGGGAGGGAGATGCAAGAGGAAGGGGACATGAGGATATATGTATATGTATAGCTGATTCACTTTGTTACAGAGCAGAAACTAACACACCATTGTAAAGCAATTACACTCCAGTAAAGATGTTAAAAAAAAAAAAAAGAAACAGAAAACAGTTATTGGCTTCTTACTCATCTCATGTAATCCTGACAGAAATTTATTTCTATTGGAGCTAAAGACATTGTGATCTCCATTTACAGTTGAGGAAGCTGAATATGAAAGTGATTAGGAAAGTGATTGTGAGGCAGAAGAGAACCAGAGCTCAAATCTCGAAAGGGACCCAGGACTAAGTTTTTCCTAGCAACAAATTTGGTTATATTATTCGAACACTTAATATTTACCAGGTGCTGGGTTTGGAGATCCACAGATGAAAAGACATGTTTCCTTATAATAAACATTCAAACTGGAAAAAAAAATGAATTCCACTTCTTTTTTCCTTGCTCTGACTAGTGAAGAGGCTCAAGGGCTGAGTTGTGCCCAAATGGTGGAAATAATAGGAGATTAAAAGAAGAAATAAGTTTGGGGGGCATGAATTAGGGAGGAAAGTTTTACATAGGTTGTAATTAGATAAATACCTGAACCAAGAGAGTGACAGAGGAGATAATGAGAATGGGAGATAGGTTTTACATATATTTGGCAAGAATTTTAACAAAAGTCAAGAAATGGGTGGATACTGGGAATGAAGAAAAGTTGAAGAAAGCTGTTCACATTATTTTTCTCCAAAATAGGGAGTTATAGAGCATTAAGGTGAAATGAGGATGGAGTAACCCATTAAACTTTTTTCAGCATGAACTTCCTTTCTTACCACTACCCTCCATTTTCACTACATCCTTGCCTAAATTTAAGCCTTGATTTCTCTACCTATACTTTTCTTTCTCTGAGTCAATATTACAATTCAGAGGCAGAATCTGTTTTCATTGGAAGAGGGAAGGTCTTCAGGGAGAGTCTGCAGAAATAGGATTCTCTGTCAGTAAATCTAGGGGAACATGAACTGGTCACCAAAACCTTATAGATGGATGGACAATTAGGAGAAAATTAAAGGACATGAAGACAGATTAGAAAAGTTGGTTTCATCAAAGAGTGCATAGTACTTGAGGCTGAATTGCAAGTACTGCACTCCCAGCAACAGGAGCTCCTGCTTCCAGTAGACACCTTAGGATGAGAAAACCACTGGCAATGCTGTAAACAGTAGTTAGCCTCAGGCTAACCCAAAGAAATGCGGTAAGGAATAGAAGAACTTGGAGATACAAATAAAAGCTGTGGGCTAGAGGAAGTGTGTGGCTATTTGGTAGTGATAAAGTGTTGCTTCTTAAGCAGACTCTGCCTGGTTTAACGTGGAAAGCAATGAACCCTGTGGTTGCTTAGCCTCATCGCCTACTCGGTTCAGTCTGTCAGTTTTACTCCCTGAAAGAAACTGTGTATTGAATAAAGGCCAGGAAAAAATGCTTACTCAGCTGTTTCCTTATGCAGCTGACTCTAAGGATTAGCAATCCAGGCAGCCTGTCCTCTGACCTGTGCTTGGACAAACTCAGTATTTGTCCTCACTTTCCATCTCATCTACAAAGCTCCACCTTAAATGCCCACCTGATTCTCAGTTACTCTGCAAAATTCTGATGACTGATGCAAAGAGTGAAGCATTTATAAAATTAAAACAATATATATTTTCACGAAGGTTTCCTAACTATCCATGAACAGAGCTACTTTAGATTTTTGATCACTTAACAGTAAAAATAACACAGATAATCTGGGATTTAATAAAACCAAGGATCTCATTCACAAACTAAAAACACTGAAAATATGGAACTATTCATCTAGCACCAAGAAATATTTCATCCACCATAAGTAATTCTTAATAAAATAAGAGTATTTTTAAAATACTCTTATTAGTTGACTGTTCTATTATTTAGTTATTTCTGTGGATCAAAAACTCATATTGCTGTAAATTATCAATCAGACTAAATTTTTATGACAGCCTGCTTTGTATAGTTACATACATATTTTGTATACTTTTCCATTAAAGAATAAAGTATTTGGGAAAAGTAGCACTAACCTTTATGGGAAAGCAGTTTGTCAAATGATTCACCCCATATCACTGCTTCTTCAGGAGAGATTCTGTTCAAGAAACAATGTTTTATAATGGAGTATGCAGAAACTCTACTTATGAATCTGCTCTAACATGTGCTATCATACTGCTCTTTTCAGTCATATTTCACAGGATTTCTCCTTTGATTATTATACAATGGAAATTGTATTTATATTGGAAAGTTCAAATACATTGGGTTTTGCCTATAAAACAATGTGTTAAAATAACATTATTTTCTCATGAATTATTTTATTTTCTAGGGAAAAATAATCATGTGTTAGGTTAAAAACAAAGAAATCAGGTCAATTATCTTTCTTAATTTGGAAAATAGGAGAACCTAATCTAACAGTGTCTTTCAGTCAAACTTTTTTAAAACTGCAATTTCCTTGAAACTCTTACCAAAATATGCAACAATTTTTTTTAACAGATACAGGAAGTTTGACTAATGAAGTTTTAAAAGGGTAAGAAATAGGAAACATTCTTAATACAACAAATATTTTAGAAATGTTGATAATTGAGAATTGAATATATTTGTCTTGGATCTTTTATTGGTCATATTTCATATTTGGAAAAATTTATATTATCCTAGTGTATAAGGTTATTCCATTTTCTGTTTGAACTAAAGAAATGGCTAAAAGTTACAAAACATCCCTTTTTGTGCTTTACTTGATACTGTACCTAGGGCATTTTTTCCAAACTACTGAAGAAAGAGATGAATAGCACTTCTCAATGACATTGTGCAAACTCTTAAATTAATGAGTATTTCATCAGTTTAAAATACAAAGTGATGAAGGAGTAAAATATATCATTTAAAATTGGCAGGCATATAATTTTAAAAGAGCATCTTTAAATTTTTATGAGATTACTTAATTCAAGCTATTAAAATGGTTTAATTTTATGGAATAGATCTGGTTTTTTTGAAATGAGATCGCTAACCCTTCCTTATATTACTGTGTAATATTCAATAAAATGGTAATCCCTAATTTCCTCTTTCTTAAATCTTTAATGATAGAATCAGCAAAATGTCCCCCCCCCCCCCAGATAATTACAAGTTATTCACCTTGTTTCTTTGGCCAGTTGCCCAGATCTGCTGGAAAGAGTATCTTCGTGAAACTCAGGTTTCTGCACAAGAAGACTTAGCCTATTTCTTTTTTCCTTAGCTCTGTAATGAAAAGGCATTAGCTTCAGGACAACTTGGATGACAATTGAAATCTCTCCTTCTGACTGACAAACAGATTTGGGATTGGTAATCACCTGGACACCCCTTCTCACCCACCTCCCTCACTCTGGACACGCTCAGTGGTTTTCTTAAGAATTTCATTTAAATACTGTTTATGGAGGAATTAGGATAGCATATGTGAAATATACTTGTTTTTTTTCCCCTCAGTGACTTTAAAGTATTTGAGATTATATTTCAATAAATATTATTACAAGTTTTCCTGTGTGGTTAAAATTGTTGCACTTTAAAAAATAAAATAAAAATACTTTTAGATTTAACAGTTATTTACTCCTAATAAATAGATTTTTTTCAGTTGTAATATTACAATCAATATATTTTCAACCAGATATTTTAAAAACAAGTGCTAACAAATATTCAATGTCGATCATGTTTTTAAAAGTATAAGGCTAACTTAAAAAATTATGATTTTTACCTGATTTTGGCTTCTTTGCTTGTTTCTTCTTTTCCTGAACCATATATTAACTTGAAAAAAGTTTTTTCTTTTGGTTCACACATATTTAATTGAGAAAAGAAAAACAATGATGTTTCCATCTTCTCTGTCTAAAATGTAGAGATGTCTAATTTATTACATCTTTCACTTGTTAATGCTATTCCATGGTTATACATAATGGAGTAAAAAGTTATCTCAACCCGTCAGCAACACTTTAAAAAAAAAATCAAGAGCTTGGGTTTCTGCCTCTGCAAAAATATAGAACTGAGGAACTAAAGTACAATTCAGTCTGGAGTTGTTTAGGGAAATGAGACTACAATTTTGCAAAATGACTCTTGGTCTCTGAGATAAAGACTAGTATTACCACAGCACAACTTCTCTTTCTAGTTTGTGCAACCAGAATGATGCTAGACCCAAATGACACTGTCATTTCCCACAGGAACTTTTTAAAAAGGTCTTTAACGTGTGTAGTACGTGTTAAAATGTGTGTGGCAAAGTGCTACACCAATCATATTTTCCCTTGTTCTTAAAATTAAGTATTTTTACTTATTTAAATACATTGAATTAGGTAAATTACATTTAACTGACATAATGCTATGTAATGTTAATCACATTTGCTTTACATATTGTATCAAAATAAGAAGATAGATCATAGAGTTTCACAGTTGAAGCTCACTTTCAAAGTTGAAGCTCACTTCAAAGTTTCACAGTTGAAGCTCACTTTCAAAGTTGAAGTTTCACAGTAAGAAGCATTTAATTCAATGATTTTTAAGCACAGGTCCATGGAATGACTTCAGACATTTGTAAAATTTTTACCAGTCCATGATGAAAATGGGAATAAAAGATCATATGTAATTTTTTCCTTAAACTATTTTTAATAGTATCTATTTTTAATATGAAGCACTTATTCTGAATTTGTCCTTTTGCCTTTTTTAATGTTAAAATGTTTTTAATGAAATATTGTAACTAGAGCCGGCAGTTTGTAGGATTGTTTATTTTATGTTCTTATTAAAAAAGAAACGGCAACTCAAAGTTGGTTCAGCTTCCACCTTCTTTTTTTTCATGAAACCCAAATATCTAAGAAATGCTGATCTAGACCATAACTCACATTAAAAAAAAAAAAAAAAAAAGGCAGGAATGATAGATATTAAGTGATTTATTCTTACAAATTCCCAGAGGTCAGTAGAAAAGAAGATCCGGAATTATCAGAGCCTTTGATCACCAGTAGCATGTGCTTTAGTCTTTCCAAGTCTTTGATCTCCAGTAGTTAATGCTTTAATTCCTCTAAAATTGTATATATTAAAAAAAAAAAGTTAACAAATCTAAAAGAAAATTTATTTTCAATCTTTCTGAATTATTGATTTTAAGAAAATAGTTATTCTTAAAGATTCACAGGGATCCCTTTTAGGGATACCAGCTAGGAGCTCAAAACATTTGCAGAAATGAAATTAAAGAATATTTAGTATATATTTATACTATATGCCCCTGATTCTATAAGTTTTACTTTGAACATATTTTTAAGTTCACCTTGGCTGAAAATTGACTGTTAAAAATATTGTACAGGAGGGCATTTTATGGCAAGTCTAGCTGGAAACAGATGTTGATAATGCAGATTACACTTCCACCACAAACTCCTTTAGTCTCTAGTATTTATTAGCACTCTCTCTCTCTCTCTCTCTATATATATATATATATATGAGGTTTAGTTTTGTAAAGGTGAATGAGGGCAAGGGCTGGTGAGCAAGGACATATTCTAGTCCCTAAGACTATATTTGAATTACTATATTCAGAGGAGTATGAGACAGGAATTTACTATTTTTCATAAGATTTGCTGAAATTGCGTGTAAGATGTGCTCTTCACAGGCTGATAGAACTGTGGAGAGAGAGACTGTGAAAACATGGACACAAGTAAATTACATTAAAGACCTGTCCAGAGGTCTGAAAGAGAATTGGAAGATGTGTGGGCTAACTCTGTGTGTGTGTGCAGACAGGTGGAAGTAGGAGAAGAAAAACAGGGTGGATGCTACATGATGACTTGAGCTGATAATCATTCTTTGGGGCACAATTATCCTTTAGCTTGAAGAGTATTCTCATAGGATAGAATTCTAGGTTTACAGTCACGTTTTTTTGTTCTTTTTTTCCAATGCTTTTAAGATGTTGCATTTTTGTCTTCTGGCCTCCATTATTCCTGATGAGAACGTCAGTAATAATTTGTATCATAGTTCTTATGCTCTAATGTGTCTTTTTTTCTGTCGCTACTTTTCAGATTTTTTTTTGTCTCTGATTTTTTAAAATTTGATTATGATATGAAAGATATTCATTCTACTTGGGATTTGTTTAGTTTCTTGGATGTGTGGTTTTATAGTTTTCATCAAATTGGAAACTTTTAGGCGTTGATTCTCCTATTTGTTTTTCTCTTTCTTCCATTTTCAGAAAACTCCAATTACAGGTATGTTTGACCCCTTGACATTGTCCCCCTGGTCACTTAGGAACTATCCAGTTTTTTCAGCCTCTTTTCTCTCTGTTCCTCAGATATTTTTCATTGCTATGTCTTGATAGAAATTTTCACTGATCTTTTCTTCCTCAGTGCCTAATCTGTTTTAGGTTTATTCTGTAATTTTTTAAATTTCAGTTCCAGAAATTCCATTTTTTTATAGTTTGCATTTTTCTTTATTATGTTCTTTTTCTTTGAAGTACTTGAACATATTTAAAATACCTGTATTGAAGTCCTTTTTTGAAAATTCCTCACTGTGGTTCTGGGTCTGCTTTTATACCAATTTTTCTCCGGCTAATAGCACGTTTTCCTACTCTTTCAGATGTCTAATAATTATATATTGATGCTAAACATTTTGAATTTTGTGATGTTAAATATCAGGACTTTATTAGTCTTCATTTAATGATGATAGAGTTGGTCTTGGTCAGGCAGTTATCTGAGTATCAGGTTTGTCCATAAAGACTTTTATTTGAACTTTGTTATGGTGAGCCTAGAATAGCCTTAATTACTAAGATAGAAAGATTCTTAAATTTCTAATGAATTCTCAGAGTGTTTATTAAAGCTTTGCTATTCTGGATGTTAAGTACTTGAATGTCCCTTAGCCCTGTGTAAGCTCTGAAGGTTAACGTATATCTCACAGTAGGTGTCCTCTGTCAATGCTCGTGGAGTTTTATCCTGCGTGAGAGCTGCTTGGTGTTCAGCCAGACTCCAAGGTACCCTCGTACAAACTTCTTGAGCTCTTTCTAGTACTTTGTCTTGCAAATTTCAGCCCTCTTGCTCTCCCTGAATGCAGATCACTATTTCCTCATCTTAAAATAGTACTTTTTGCTCTATTTAAGGAGTACCCCTGTAAACTTCTCAGTCTCTAAATGAGCCTTACATTTCTTCCCTGCACTGAAGTCTTCAAAGAAGGCAGTTGAAGTTGTATGGCTCACTTCATCTGTCTCTCTTCTGTTAAGTATCGCATGTCTATGTTGCCTGTTTTCAGTGTCTGAAAACAGTTGTGTTATATATTTGTTATATGTGTTATATCGGTCATGGTCATGGTCATGGCCGTCTTTTACCACACACACACGCACACACACAAACACACACGTATCCTGTTACCTTAATGAATTCCATTACTGCTATTATTGCTCATGGAATTACTCATAGCTTTTCAATTAGTTTTCTTAAGTTTCTCAAGAAACAGATACTTTATAAATATTATTAGTTTCAACAACCCATTTCCAACCATTACACTCTCATTTATATTCTAACCTAATATTATTGTTTTATAACTTCAGTACAGAAAGTTGATAGTTGGAATCGTTGTTGTCTTTGCCTTGGCATTAGGAGAAATTAAGACCTACTAAAATGAGGCTCAGTTTCATACTTACCTTTTGTGAATGTGTGCATTTATATGATTATGTTCCTTGTTCTTTTCTTTTCTTATGATAACTTTGCATGGAATTTGAATTTGATACATTTCTGTTGTTTATTTTCACATGAAATTAGTTTTCTTATACTTTTAGAATGAGCCAGGATTCAAGAAAACTTTCCTAGCTTTAATTTCGATAATTACATTGGTGGTAGTATTAGTATTCTGAGAATAATTTTCAAAATGAATAATTAGTGGATATTCTTATTTATCATCTCCTGTGTCCTTGAGAAGCAGAATTTTTAGGGTGGAATAAGGGACATATAGATGCAATAAGGAAGCATTTAATTTAAATCTCCTTAGTCTTGAAGTTTGACTGTATCAGGATAAATTTGGGAAGTTGTTACTGGGTTGGTTATTGTTTCCAGTCTTTTATGTTGGATGGAGCTAGGCTGTATATTTTTCCTACTTATAAATATTACCTTCCTCTTTTCACTATTAAGACCTAGATACAATGACTAATGCTTTCGTGATGAGACTCATATTGTGGCCTTGAAGTGTCACTTCTCACTAAAAGCGACCTAGGTTTAGTGGAGACATTGCTGAGGTCTGAGACAGGAGATGCACGAGCTGAGCCTGGCAAATCTTGCCATATCGGTTAGAAGGGAAGCTATCAAAGACTAATGGAGTCAATTCAAATTATTCAAGGGCCAACTTACTAGTCTTCCACTAACCACAAAGGGACGATCAGATTTTCAGTACTTTTAATAACGAGAGTGGATTGAAGACATCAAACTTATTTTCATCTGTGGGTGCATAGCAATATTTAAAAAGAATTGCCTACCTGCAGAGGATTATAGAAATTAACATATTAAAATGAAAACTGGTTAATAAAGGGAACAATTAAGCAGTTATCCTATATTTCTTATTAACTCTACCATGGGAAACCAAAGAGTGACTGAGAGAAAGTATTGCTTTAATAAGATATATTCTGACAAACAAATAAAAGTGAAAGAATATTAAAATCTCAGCTTTTTAAACCAACAAATGATTAGATACAGGTGTTAAACTTCAACGGTGGCTAAGATCACAAAAAGAGACAAGCAGACATTATGTGCTTCCTATAGCCATACTACATTCTACTTACAGTTTTCCAAAGAGATCAAATCTGATATCCAGTCTCTGGACCCAGCTGCCAATCTGCAGAAATGACAGAGGACAGAGGAACATGTTTAACTGCACCATGAAGGTGCAAGCAGTGAGATCCCGGCTGTGGGGGGAACTACAGCCCAGTTCTGCAGCTGCTAAATTGTAGGGGAACAAAGGAGATTGAAGTAAGGGGGGATAGAACTGTCTCTTTCATTCAGATGTGCATTGAATGAAAAATATAACTCTATAACGCCAAATAAGTCTTTTCAAATAAAGGGCTAATTGTCTAATTAGTTCTACCTGAAAGTCTGAGCGTTTGATGTTATCTAAGAA